CAAAATGAGGAAATGATCACCTGATATTTTGCCATAAAAATGGAGGAGTCTAACTAGGACCTTTGCTTGGAATAAAGCATACTTGCCTACCTGAGTGTGAAGATAATCTTCAGGGACCAGTGATCTGGAAGGACACCAAGTCCCAACCATGTGAAATGTCAATACAATTGCATGTCTACATTTCTGGGCAACTGAAAAAGCTTTTTTTGTCGTTGGAATCCAAAGTCATTTTCAATAACCTTGATTGTCTTAATATTTCATTGCATTTTATATTTTTTTAAAGTTACAAATCAATGTCATTTCAAAGAAACATTGACAGAATCAACACAGTCTAGAAAAGGATCGACAGAAAGATGAAGTGTACATATTTTGGAAAACTTGAAGACTAGGACTGTTTAGCCTGGAGAGGAGAATAGTTAAAGAGAAAGAGATAATAGCCGGGCGCGGTGGCTCAAGCCTGTAATCCCAGCACTTTGGGAGGCCGAGACGGGCGGATCACGAGGTCAGGAGATCGAGACCATCCTGGCTAACACAGTGAAACCCCGTCTCTACTAAAAAATACAAAAAACTAGCCGGGCGAGGTGGTGGGCGCCTGTAGTCCCAGCTACTCGGGAGGCTGAGGCAGGAGAATGGCGTAAACCCGGGAGGCGGAGCTTGCAGCGAGCTGAGATCCGGCCACTGCACTCCAGCCTGGGCGACAGAGTAAGACTCCCTCTCAAAAAAAAAAAAGAGAAAGAGATAATAAATTCTTCAGCTGTGACTCTCTACCTTATAGAAAAGGGAAGGGTTGAGAGCAGAGTTAGAACCAGTGCATCCTTCCTTAGGAAGAAGTCAGGTTCCAACAAGGAAGTGCTTGTTAAAAATTAGTGTTGTTCCAGTGTGGACAGGACTGTCTAGTGAGGCGGGGAGTCCCTCTCATTAGAACTGCAGTTTCATTCATTGTTTTTTTATTCCCCTGTCAGTCATACTTTCTTGTTTGTTTGCATGTCTTATAACTGTTTTTTTTTTTTTTTAAGAGAACAGGATGTTTTAAATAATATAATGTGACAACTCAGAAAATCAGATTTTTCCAGCTCTCCAACGTTTGCTGTTGTTTATTTGTTGGTTCGATAGCATTTTCTAAACGAATTCTCTAAAGGCTGTATTCTTTGTCACATGTGGTCATTGAAGTTTCTGCTCAGTTAGCTTAGTGGTCAGTTAATGAACGGACAGAGATTTCCTTAGATGCCTTAGATGCCTAGAACCAGCGAGTCTCCTGGCCTTTACCAAGGGTGCACAGAGCTTCAAGGTCAGCCAGAGGAGAGATCTTAGGATCTTTGCAGATCTTTCCTGGGCCTATGCACAGCCCCTGAATCTAAGCACAGCCCTATTCATGTGTGTAATTTCTGAGATCCCCACGAATATGCCAGAGCTTTGTCAAGCCCCCTTGTGCACAACTGTTACCAACTGCCTCAGGCAGCCTCAGAGATCAATAGTTACCTCTAACTGTCGTCGGAAACCTCCTGGAGGAGGGGGGAGGGACCAGAGGCTTTCCCTAGTTGAGCTTCAAGTTCAGGTCAAATAAAGACATCCTTCTGAGTGGGGTCTTCCAGGGAACCGCCAGATCAGCCATACAATAACAATCGTCTGGGAATGGGGCCTTGAAGGAGCTGCAACCCCATTCTGCGCCCTCTGGTGGCGGCTAGGCTGCCAGTTCTCACCAGGATTGCAGGCTCTTGGCTTTCCAGGCTACCAAGGGGAACAGGGATGGGAATAGGGCAAATGAAAATTGCATAGCGCTTGCTGTTCCTAATGAGTTCGGCGGCTTTTCGTGAATAAACGCTCCTCAGATTGCTGCAAGACTTTGGTTAATTTCCAGAATTCTAGAAAAATTGAGGCTAACAGTTTTTTGCCAGTGTTTTCATTGCTTACATGAGTAGAGATTCTTTGGAGGTCCTTTCCATGCCAGTTTTGCTATGTCACTGTACAAGTGCTTTTTTGCCATATTTTTAAAAGATAAAAAGTTGAATTCATTTCTTCCAAGGACCCCTCCCATTCTAGAGTGTTCCGTATTAATAGGTCTCATTCCCCAACCATCCTAGGTGATAGAATTTACTGTACCATTTTAAAAATAAATATGATTGTTTAAGATACACTGAAATAGACTTTGAACAGTGCCAAGATATGAAACATAATAAACTTTACTTAATTATCAACTCTGCCTTGTTTTATTCCCAGATTTGAAAAGGAAATATTACTTTTCTGGCACAGTTTCTTAACTTAAAATGAATTCGTCTAAAGGGGTAGGAGATCTTAAGACAATAGAGATACAATGTAAGCCCCAGACACTATTGAAAGGGTAAACATCAAGTAATTTACTGACAGCATTTCACAGAATTGAATCATCAGCATATATATTTATTGAATGGTTTACTTTTTTGAGTAACTAATACATTGTTATTAATTATAGTCACCACGTTGTATTGTAGACCTCTTGAACTTATTCCTCCTAACTGGAATTTTGTATCTTTGGTTTACCTCTAATTCTTTTGTTTGCTTTTTTTTGTTTTGCTTTGTTTTGTTTTGAGACAGGGGCTCACTGTGTTGCCCAGGCTGGAGTCCAGTGGGGCGATCTCAGCTCACTGCAACCTCTGCCTCCTGGGTTCAAGCAGTTCTCATGTCTCAGCCTCCAGAGTAGCTGGGATTACAGGCATGCACCACCACGCCCAGCTAATTTTTGTATTTTTAGTAGAGACAGGGTTTCACCTGATGGCGAGACTAGTCTTGAACTCCAGACCTCAAGTGATCTGCCCGCCTTGGCCTCCCAAAGTGCTGGGATTACAGGTGTCAGCCACCACGCCCAGCCAGTTTACCTCTAATTCTGAAATCTGTTATTATTAGTAAAATATTAATATATTCATGCTAATTCTTTATTCACTAAAGGTCCATTTTTGTACTAAGTACTGAGAACATAGGTAAGGAATCAGCTAAACATGATCCAAGGCTGTTTTATATCAATTTCTTCAAAGATAGATGTGAGAAAATAGTGCCACATTATTTGGTAATGATGTTAAATGAAGTTGCTATGCAAATTATTTTCCAGATGTCTGAAGCCAAACCTTTTTAACTTAACAAATTTTGAGGTGACTCTTCTCAAACTATGTAAAACATTTCTCTGCTTCATCAGGAAGCTAATGATCTAATGTCTCAGTAGCAAGTAATCATTTTGGACAGTTATCTCATTGTCCTGTAAAACAGTGGCAGCCACCTTGCTCTTGTAGGGTAGAGCTGAGCGGAAGTACTCACTGGTGACATAATGCTGTGCTGCTGGTATTTTCATACTCTTTCATGAAGTGTTGTGCCTCATATTTTTCCATTAATATCTGCTAATCATAGATTTTCCATCTATTTTTAATTTGATCTTTCTACTTTATAATCTGTGAACTGACATATGAGACAAGAGATTGTACCTGTTGGGTTCTTAACATTTATGAGGCACTATCCTAAGTGTTAAAATGTATCTGTGCATTTAATCCTCCCAACATCTCAGACAGGTAAGCACTATTATCATCTACGTTTTTAGACAAGAAAACTGAAGCACAGAGAGATTAAGTAACTTGCCCCAAATCATGTAGCAGTTCATGATCTTAACCATTATACTATACTGTTGAAGTGGCATCGTCCATCCTGGGTAATACCCAAGGTTAGTTGTCTCAGGCCAAGGAAATCAAGGATGTGAACACACAGGGAGTGAGGTTAAGAGTGGAGGTTTAATAGACGCAAAAAGAGAAGAGCTCTCTCCTGCAGAGAGGGTTCCTGAGTGGGTTTTCTGGTCCACAGCAAAATGCAGCGGGTTTTATAGATAATCTTGAGGAGGCAGAGTCTGATTTACCAGGGCATGAAAGATTGGTCGGACCAGGTGTACCATTTGCATGGTGCATGAAAATCTGGCCACCCCCACCCTAATCTTTTATTATTCTGATGGGTTCTGTACTTGGCTGGCACCATGTTACCTGTTTCTTTACTGTATACACAAAGACAAGGGAAGATGGAGCCTCCATGTTGAACATACCTGGCCCCCGGGTAGCCTTTTTCTATTGGCACAGCTGCTGGCATTCACCTGTGCAAGCTTCCCGCTTGCTTGTCTATGTCTACAGCTCGATTTTTCAGGCAGTTCTTTTAATGATTTTGGAGCTGCTTTTTGTTAAAAGGAAAATTCCACCAAGGACTCTTTTACCCTCACTATCTGCCTAAATAATTTCTATCTGCTGTATCACTGTGTCATTTAAAAATGCTTATTAAAATGACACATAAACCTAAGAGTGAATGAGCTCTCATAGAGTATTTGAGTGGAACTGTTTGAAAAATACTTAAATTTTGGTGAGTTGTCTTTGTGATGTCTATGTTAGTTTCCCACAGAATGTATGTGTATGTCTGTGTTTGTGCAAATTTCTTGTGTTTGTATCAAATAGGTTAAGGTGGCCAGAGAAGCAACTTTACCAAATCAGTGTTAAGTATTATTAAATCATGAACATTGTGTGCCAGATCTGGCCTAATGCCTTTTTGTGTGTTTGAAGTTTCACTGGAACCCAGCTACATTCATTCATTCACTTACCATCTATGGCTGCTTTCTTGTGACAGTGGCAGGGATGAGTAGTTGCCATAGAGACCATATGGCCCACAAAGCCCAAAATATTTACTATCTGGCCATCTGAAAAAAGAAAACAAGTAAGTCAACCCCTGCTTTAGATGTTGGGTTTTATACCAGTGGGTCTCAACTTCAGGTTTTGAGAAAGACAAAAGAAGGGGTTGGCTCATTGGAATCAGCTGGACAAGCTTTTCAAAAGCTACACACTTCCCTTTCTCCTTCTTCTCATCAGCTTTCCCTGTTGAGAACCACTGTCTTAAACTTTATGATCCAAATGATTTCATTAACTGATACAGATTGTTTGCTTTCCTTAACTATTTTTGGCCTTCTGTAACATATCTAAAGTAATGTTGACCGTATATTTCTTTTACAGGGTTGTGGGAAGAAAATGTATTCCTTTTTGAGAGGAACCAAACAACTGCAGGTGCTGAGATTTCTGGGAATCTCCATTGGAGTGACACAAATTCTGGCCATGATTCTCACCATTACTCTGCTCTGGGCTCTGTATTATGATAGAAGGGAGCCTGTGACAGACCAAATGATGTCCTTGAAGAATGAGAACTCTCAGCACCTGTCATGTCCCTCAGTAGAACTGTTGAAACCAAGCCTGTCAAGAATCTTTGAACACACATCCATGGCAAACAGCTTTAACACACACTTTGAGATGGAGGAGTTATAAAAAGAAATGTCACAGAAGAAAAACATAAACTTGTTTTATTAGACTTGTGAATTTTTGAGTACATACTATGTGTTTCAGAAACAGGTAGAATAAAAATGTTGTCATAAAATAATACCTAAGCATATACTATTCTATGCTTTAAAATGAGGAGGGAAAAGTTTCATGTCATAAGTCACCACCTGGACAATAACTGATGCCCTTAAAATGCTGAAGACAGGCCGGGCGCGGTGGCTCACGCCTGTAATCCCAGCACTTTGGGAGGCCGAGATGGGCGGATCACAAGGTCAGGAAATCGAGACCATCCTGGCTAACATGGTGAAACCCCGTCTCTACTAAAAAATACAAAAAAAAACTAGCCGGGCGAGGTGGCGGGCGCCTGTAGTCCCAGCTACTTGGGAGGCTGAGGCAGGAGAATGGCGTGAACCCGGGAGGGGAGCTTGCAGTGAGCTGAGATCTGGCCACTGCATTCCAGCCCGGGCAACAGAGCGCGACTCTGTCTCAAAAAAAAAAAAAATGCTGAAGACAAATGTCATACCCACTGTGTAGCCTGTGTATGACTGAACACAGTTATGTTTTGAGGCAGCGTGGTTTGATTAGCATTTCTGCATCTATACAAACGAGTCACATATGGTGGAACTGGAGCTACAGTAAAGGTTGATTTACTTCTACCAACTAGTATAGAAAGTACTAATTAAATGCTAACATAGGAATTTAGAAGATACTAATAACTTTTATTACTCAGCGATCTATTCTTTTGATGCTAAATAAATTATACATCAGAAAACTTTCAATATTGGTGACTACCTAAATGTGATTTTTGCTGGTTACTAAAATATTCTTACCACTTAAAAGAGCAAGCTAACACATTGTCTTAAACTGATCAGGGATCTATTTGTATATAAGTCTGTGTTAAATCTGTATAATTCAGTAGATTTCAGTTCTGATAATGTTAAGAATAACTATTATGAAAAGGAAAATTTGTCCTGTATAGCATCATTATTTTTAGCCTTTCCTGTTAATAGAGCTTTAATATTCTGTCCTGGGCTTATATTACACATATAACTGTTAATTTAAATACTTAACCACTAATTTTGAAAATTACCAGTGTGATACATAGGAATCATTATTCAGAATGTAGTCTGGTCTTTAGGAAGTATTAAGAAGAAAATTTGCACATAATTTAGTTGATTCAGAAAGGACTTGTATGCTGTTTTTCTCCCAAATGAAGACTCTTTTTGACACTAAACACTTTTTAAAAAACTTATCTTTGCTTTCTCCAAACAAGAAGCAATAGTCTCCAAGTCAATATAATTCTACAGAAAATAATGTTCTTTTTCTCCAGAAAAATGCTTGTGAGAATGATTAAAACACGTGACAATTTAGAGATTCTTTGTTTTATTTCATTGATTAATATACTGTGGCAAATTACACAGATTATTAAATTTTTTACAAGAGTATAGTATATTTATTTGAAATGGGAAAAGTGCATTTTACTGTATTTTGTGTATTTTGTTTATTTCTCAGAATATGGAAAGAAAAATAAAATGTGTCAATAAATATTTTCTAGAGAGTAATGACTTGTCTGTGCCTATTTTTTAATACATTACAAGCACTTAAGCCACTTGAGAAGATTATCAAAGGGAGAAAAACATGAGAAAGAATGATTGCATAAAGTATTAATATTGATTTCCAAACTATAGAACAGACCTATAAGAGTATGTATTTTCACTGAGAAGAGTCAAAAAGATGCCCATTTATTTTTCACTTTTGCTTTTTAGCTAAATGTTAAATAATATACTTGTTTGAGATAATATAAAAATATGCCCATTTGTGTTAATTTATCTTTTCAATGTTTGCATAATCACAGTTTTATAACTATTATTAATTTTTAAAAGAATATGAGTCTCTTAGTTAATTTCAAATTCTCTTCAAATGAGTCAAGGAATACAATACTTGAAATTGACTGCCGTATTTAAAATCTTCCATAGATTTTAATGAAAACTGAGTACAGTACTTGTTCAATCAGAGCCAAAAGCATCCCTTCTAATAACTTCCTCAATGCCCCAAATCCCTGTAATTTCACCTAAAATACCCACGTAACTGAGATAGATATCTATGAGTTTTGTTTGAATTATTTGTATAATGGTCAAATTTAGCGGCTTCTTTTTTTAATATGTCTTACAGTCACAGAAAGAGCAAGCATATAATATGTTGGACTCAGTAAAATGAAAAGTCCTCAAATTACAAAAGTTGCTTTCTACATTTTTAGACCTCAGATATTTTGATGTATTACCTGATTTACTACCCTCTAGAATGGTCAACATAAATTTAGACAATCATTTTGTATATAATACACTGCTTAATGGGAATGAATGACATTTATAGCAATAGCCCACAAAGCCTCTTATGGTAGCAGTGCACCTGGAATAATAAAACTGCAAGGGAGTTAAAAAAGTGTATTTAATGCAGTAGAGCTGAGGGAGTTCACTGTTTGGGTACATTGCAAACAAAACTGTTAACTGTTTCTTTGGGAATTTTTAAAAGCTTTCTTTGGTTAAAAAAAAATCACCATTTTTTAAAAGTAGAAATTTAAGAAGATTATTTTTAGACTGGTTAATAGTCCATTCAAAGTGCCCTGGAGACTCAGAGATGGCAACAAGAGATAATGTCTGTCCTTAAACACTGTAGAATCTGGGTTAGGGACACTCGTGCTAACCACAGGAAAAATAAATAAGGGAATATACAGCAAGTAGGGCCCTTCTTAAGAATAAGAGATGGAGTAGAGTGGAATTAAGGCCGCTATGCCAAGGCGATCGCCTTCAAGCTGGATCAGAAGGAGCAGTGGAGTCTAGCTAGCTCGTGGAAAACGTTCCATGAGCCATGAGTTTGAGGTTAAAAAGTATACATCATTTTGGAGTTATGACTTACGGTTCAATGTGGTTAGATCATAGAATGCTTGAAGAGATGCCATGGGAGAGCAAATGAATGAAATTTGAGTTTAGGTACTTTGTTCTGTAGGCTAAAAGTAAAGTCACCGAAGTGATTTCAGAAAGAGAAATGATGAATATTTCATTAATTTAACTGGATTAGCCAAGTAAGAAAGAGGAGACCAGGAGACAGTTATACTCATTATGCAACTCCTGAGTGGGTGGGTCACCATTGACCACAGTCTAGGTAAGTGGAGCGCTCGAGAGTTGTACACACTGCAGGTCCTGGCGGGAGACTGGATAGTTTGCTGTTGCTGTGGTCCTGGAGAGGGATAAGGATCCTCACCAGAACAATGGACGTCAAAAATCAAGAGTGCATAAAACAGATCACACCAGGGTGAATCCACAAAAATTGGCAGTAGATAGACCTCAGGGAGTGTGGGACAAGAAGTAAAAGAACTGAAATTTCTGGATTTTGCGCCTGGCAAATTGGCATGGCATTAACCTAGATGGAAGACTGGAGGGGAACGAGTATGAGAGGGTAATTAATTTGGTCTGAGACACAGAGTTAGGGATGCCTGCAGGACATGCAGATGGAGATGTCTACAGGCAGCTGTAAATTTCAGTCTGGAGCTTTGGAGAATTCACTGTCAAGCCTGAGAATTTTTATGCATTGCTTTCCCATCTCAGGAAGCCTGACAGAAAATGGGCTGGGAACCAAATCTTATATGAGGAGAATCTCAAATAGATTGCCACAGAAGCTTCCTTTTGTCTGAACTCCCACTCCTGTGGATGAGTCAAGGGAGGTAAAAACAAGAAATGATTATACTACTGAATCTTCTCTGGCAAAGGAGCTGCCCCCTTTTTAAAAACACTGCCAACTGCTATGCTGCTTCACCCAACCCTCTTCCTATTGTCATTCTGAGATTTACAAGTAGATTCGTCTCCCCTATGAACTGAGTTCTCATTTCCTCACATCCTAGAAACATACAGAATCTTTGGTATCATCTTGATCTTGAAAGCTTTTCTTTTTCTATTTTTATGTGTTAATTGCAGTCATTCTTTATCTCATACTTTCAGGGGTGCGTACTAGGTACCAGGCACATGTAGGAGGTTCTTTACAGTTATTTTCTCTGTTCTTTGCAACTCATTTGCAATTTGCAGGCACCCCACTTTATTTTACAAATGAAGAAGAGGGACTCCAAGAGACTGAATAAATTTACTTAGCTAATATGTGGCAGAGCTGTACTTCCACTCTCCCCATTTTGTGGCATGGTATCTTCACCGACCCGTGGTGAAGCTCAGATGATTCTTTACGTAGAAAAGCCAAATTTCCCTACATGTAAATCAATATCACCAGGCCTAATTGATCTCCAGATTTTATTACTACTTCTTTCAAAATGATGCTCTTGTCTAACCTCATTCCTACTATTATTTCCCAAGAACAAGTATAAATTATCTAAAGTATCTTGTACACACACATACACACACAGGCAAATTAAGTTCTTTTTTTTTTTTTTAGATGAAGTCTCACACTGTCACCCAGGCTGAAGTCAGTGGCGTGATCTCGGCTCACTGCAACCCCTGCCTCCTGGGTTCAAGCGATTCTCCTGCCTCAGCCTCCCAAGTATCTGGGACTACAGGTGCGCATCTAATATTTTGTATTTTTAGTAGAGATGGGGTTTCACTATGTTGGCCAGGCTGGCCTTGAACTCCTGACCTTGTGATCTGCCCACCTCAGCCTCCTAAAGTGCTGGGATTATGAGCCACTGTGCCCAGCCCAAATTAAGTTCTTAAATCAACTTTATTGAGATTTTATGTACATATATATAAACACATATACACACACACACATATATATATGTATATACACACACACACATACGCACACCTAGTAAATATACCCCTTTCAAGTATACAGTTAATTAGTTTTGGCAACTATATATACTCATGTAACCACAACCACAATCAATATCTAGAACATTTTCATCATGTCAAAAAGTTTCCTCTTGCCCATCTCTGATAAATCCTGCAGTCCCCATTCCTAGCCCCAGGCAACACTGATCTGCTGAATGTCACTCAGATTAATTCCTGTGAAACTTTATTCTTATATTGCTGCTTCCTTACTCAAACACTTCCAGAGATTCCTTGTAAGAAAGGCGGAGCTTCCCAACTCATTCATGTATATATTATTTATACGGCATGTTAGGATACGTGAAGCTCAGGGGCCACTGGCCACCCTAGGCCTTGTCTGGCTACCATAAGGACTACAAGGAAGCAATAGCTCAATTCAAAATTTTGGCTGCTACATTACAGATCTCGAAATACAGTGGCTTAAACAAAATAGAAGTGAAATTTTAG